CCTCCTCTTCCTCCTCCTCCTCCTCCTCCTCCTCCTCCTCCTCTCCCTCTTCCTTCCCCACTGCCCTCCCCAGCGTCACTGGAGACACAATAACGAGCGATCTAACGAGCTAATCCTCTGCAGGGTCACTGCGTCGTGGAGTTTGACGAGGAGGGTCACTTCCTGCGCCGCATCGGCTGCGAGAACATCACCTGCTTCCTCCTCCTCTCCTCCTCCTCCTCCTCCTCCTCCTCCTCCTCCTCCTCTCCCTCTTCCTTCCCCACTGCCCTCCCCAGCGTCACTGGAGACACAATAACGAGCGATCTAACGAGCTAATCCTCCGCAGGGTCACTGCGTCGTGGAGTTTGACGAGGAGGGTCACTTCCTGCGCCGCATCGGCTGCGAGAACATCACCTGCTTCCCGAACGGCATCGATATCAGCGACGCGGGCGACGTGCTCGTCGGCGACTCCCACGGCAACCGCTTCCACGTCGCCGTGTTCCAGCGCGACGGCTCGCTGCTGTCGGAGTTCGAGTGTCCGTACGTGAAGGTCAGCCGCTGCTGCGGCCTCAAGATCACGTCCGAGGGCTACATCGTCACGCTGGCGAAGAACAACCACCACGTGCTGGTGCTGAACACCCTGTACATCATGTAGGAGCGCTGAGGTAAGCCCCATGAACAGGTGGGGGGCGTGTGTGTGTGTGTGTGTGTGTGTGTGTGTGTGTGGTGTGTGTGTGGTGTGTGTGTGTGTGTGTGTGTGTGTGTGCGTGTGTGTGTGTGTGTGTGTGTGTGTGTGTGTGTGTGTGTGTGTGTGTGTGTGTGTGTGTGTGTGTGTNGGGCCTCACCGCCCCGGGCATGACCCCGGGAGCACCGCTACGAAACAGCAGCAGCAAGCTGAACACCATGCAGATCAGGTACGTGTGTGTGTGCGTGCGTGAGGGCGTGCATGCATGCGTGCGTGAGTGCGCGTGTGTGTGTGTATGCGTGCGTGTGTGAGTGCGTGCACAGGTGTAAGTTCTATATCGGTGTTTGTACAACTGTGGAAGTTCTATCTCAGTGTGTAAGTTCTGTATCTATGTGTGTGCATAGGTGTAAGTTCTGTATCTATGTGTGTGCGTAGGTGTAAGTTCTGTATCTATGTGTGTGCATAGGTGTAAGTTCTGTATCTATGTGTGTGAGTAGGTGTAAGTTCTGTATCTGTGTGTGTACAGGTGTAAGTTCTGTATCTATGTGTGTGCGTAGGTGTAAGTTCTGTATCTATGTGTGTGCGTGCCGTAGGTGTAAGTTCTGTATCTATGTGTGTGCGTAGGTGTAAGTTCTGTATCTATGTGTGTGTGTAGGTGTAAGTTCTGTATCTATGTGTGTGTAGGTGTAAGTTCTGTATCTATGTGTGTGTGTAGGCTGTGGGCTCACGGCAACGTACGCGCGGCAGATTTGCGGCGGTATATGCCTGTGTAAGTTATATATATCTTAATGCTGTGTATCAAGATTGTATAGAAAATTCTGAGAGAACTAATCTCTACTGCTGCCATAGGTGTAAGTTTCTATCTATATGTGTTGTTTTGCGGTAGGTGTGAAGTCTTTATCAGCGGCGTAAGGTGCAAGTCTGAATTCTGGCAGTGTGTGTGCGTAGGTGCCAAGTTCTGAGGTAAAGTTCGATCGAAGTGCTCTTAGTATTGTTAAAAAAAAGAAATACTGAATATTCAGGTGCGACGTAGCGTAGTAAAAAACGTATCAGTAGTGATAGTCGCGTTGTTGTTAAGGAGTGTTAATGTATCAGATGTAGATGAAAGATTCGGAGGTGTAGGAATCCTGCTATCTAAGATCGTCTAAAACAACGGTGCTACGTGAACGTAAGTCGGTTCATCTGTGATGTTGTATTGTGCGAGATAGGTGTAACAAAATGTAGGCTGATACTAAGTGTATCCACAGGTTGTTACATAGTTTCTGTCGTATCTATTGGTAGGTGACAGGGTACAAATTTCACTTGTCATATACGTGCGCGTAAGGGGCGCTGTAAGTTCTGTATCTATGTGTGTACAGTAAGCACCTAGCAGCGTGTAGAGTTGGTGTATCTATGATGAGCTGCACGAACGCGTGTGGCAAACGTGATACTAGCATAATCTGTTTGTGCTAGCTAACAGGTGTACATGTTCTGTAGCACAATGTTTATAGAGTATCTAGAGTGTAAGTCTGTATCTATGTGGGCGTAGGTGTAAGTTCTGTATCTATGCGTGTACAGGTGTAAGTTCTGTTATCTATGTGTGTACAGGTGTAAGTTCTGTTAATCTGTGTGTGTTTGCCGAGTGTAAGTTTCTGTTATCTATGGTACAGGTTAAGTCCGTATCTATGTGTGTACAGGTGAATTCTGATATAGTTGTGCGTAGTTGTAAGTTCTGTATCTATGTGTGTACAGGTGTAAGTTCTGTATCTATGTGTGTACAGTGTAAGTCTGTACTGTGTGGTACAGGTGTAAAGTTTCTGTAATATATGTGTACAGGTGTAAGTCCTGTATATATTTGTACAGGTGTAAAGTTCCGTATAATAAGTGTAGCAGTGTAAGGATCTGTATCTTGTGTGTTGCGATAGGTGTAAGTTTTGGCCAGCTGGACCCAGGCAAGACGCAGTTCAACTCGCCGCACGGCTTCTGCATCGGCATATGCCAAGATGAAGGAACATCGTCCGTCGCCCTCTTCGACACCACCAACGTTCTTTTTTCAACAACCACCGCATCACAGGTGTTCTGAGAAGAAAACCGGAGCGTTCACAAGTATCAGTTCGGCATCCCCGCAGAGAGGAGGGCAGCTGTGGTAGCGATTACTGCGCTGGTTACTAACCGCAGTGTCGCCCCATGCGCAAGGTGAGGGTCTCTCTCTCCCCTGCGTCTCTCCCTTCTCACCCCTCTCCGGTCCGGGTTTTGACCCGCCATCCCAGGCCTCGCGAAGCAAACATCGTATGCAGCACCCCAGCAGAGAGAGGGCGCAGACGTGACTGAAATAATCAACATGTCGGTGAAATGCTCGGCCCCGGCGCAAAAAGGTGCGAGGGGTCTCCTCCCCCTCTCACCCCCTCCTCCCCCTCAACTCCCCCTTCTTCCTGTCGCGAAGCCAACCATCAAAAAACCCAAGGCAAGCAGAGGAATCATAGGCAGCTGTGGTAGCGCCAACCGCGCAATGTGATGGTCTACCATCCCGCCGGCCCAACATCTCTCCCCCCTACACTCATCTCGGATTCGAGAACAACCAAATTGCCACCACCGGCAGCAGAGGAGAGCGCCATGTTCGGCCTTAGAAGGTCACACCACACCGGCGGGTTGAATCGAGTTCGCGTCTATGGCGGCGCTCATCAGTTCTACCGACAACGCTGAGGGTTCTCCTCCCGCCTCCCCACCCCCACAAGCATGCTCGGTGAAAAACCGTCACTGCTCTCTCCGGCTCGTTCATCCATCTAATGGGGAAGAGAAGAGAGGCCAGTCTGTGGTTCACACTGGTTTTTTGGTTGCCAGTCCCAGCCCCGGGAACAACGGCCAGTATAGATGTACCATACCTGGGATCGCGAGTTTCCAGCTGTACTTCACGGACAGCATCTTTCCACCCACTCCTCCGCGACCAGCGGGCATCCTCGATCCATTGACCATCAGGGGCGTCAACAAACCAGTCCGCCGACAAAATCCCTAGAGAGGGCCAGAAAAGGAGGGGCAGACTGAGGACCTCGTTCCGCAGCAAGGCTGAGCGCAATCCCTCCCAACAACTATAATTCACCTTCTCTCCCTTATCCTTCTCTCTCCCCTCTTCCTCTTCGTTAAAAATTCAAAACTGATTGGTTACTATTAAAGATATCTCTAACGTACTCTCCGTGCCCGTGTAATCTCCAAACACAGCTGCATGGGGCTTTCGTTGCTCAGTGTCCATCGAACGACAACCGCTCTACGTCTAGATGGACGACGACAATGAATGATGACCAATTACGCAGATTGTAAAAATCCAGCAGTGAAACTTCACCCCATGTGAGCCAAGCTAGTTAGAGATTCAGTTGACCTGTCAGAACCAACTGAGTTCTTATGGCAAACCTAAGTTGTATGCCACGCCCTAGACTGACAATAAAACCGAAAAACATAAATACAAAAACACCAACCACATTATCGTAAGCGCCGCATGTCTCGGCGTTACGCGACAAGGTCGTGCCGTCATAATTTCTCGTCTGATCGTTTCGGGCAAGTTTGTCCGTCTGACGAGACCCCGTTCCGTTTTTTTGTCTAACATCAAGTTTTTTTTTTCCCAACGGAGCTCTAAGCGCAACGCGCCTAGGTGATCCCTTATTGTATACTACGATGCTCCGCTGTCGACGTCTTAACATGGCTATAAACGCAGATCTTCCACGAAGAACGGGCACTTCATCAAGAAGACCGACGAATCCGCTACATCGACAAGCCTGCGCGCAGGTCGTGCGCGGCCGTGCGTCCGGCGGCGTCTGTCCGCCGCATCTGCGTCTCGGTCTGGGCGACCTCGGACGCGCAGCGCACAATGGCTCACTGCGATCTGCCTGCGCTTGTGCGACAGCGGGTCGCCTGGACTGCCCCCGCGTGTTCGCATCTCGCGAGAAAGTCCGTCAGACTCTGCTGAAGTTGGTTCTGAGCGTGCAGCTGACTACATGCCGCTCGACCGCCCGGTCCGATCGCACTCCATAGCAGAATTCAGCGGCAAGCAACTACCTCGTGCTGGCTCTTGCAGACTTTTCAAGAGGCTGGAACGCTGTGGCTCTGCCTCGTCTGCATTGTTGTCGTGGTGCTTTCGCAACGTGGCGACGGCTGGCGCTAAGTCTAATCGAGAACCGGCTGTAAGCGATGTCGCTGAAGCTGACTTCAAGTGAGTGCCGGGCACTGTCGTTGCTGGTGATTGTGTTTCGCGTGCTGATAGTGAACACTAAAGCTGTGGAATTGAATTGTCCGGATTGCGATCAGCCAGTGAACAAACTAGTGGCTTCGCCGTTCTGCGAGTCTCTATAGGTAAAACAACCAAGCTTGTTACCCCGCGGTGCATTTTTACATTGTTATATGCGCTGTATAGTCTGCGTTTTCGGTTCGATTCCTGGGTAGCAAGCCTAGCATCCGAGTAGCGATCGTTAGACGGCGTGGAGATCACTTCGGAGAAACCGGAGCATTACGACGGAGCCCTTAATAATCAGCGATATAACGAAGCAATTCTTTCGCGATCCTTTACTCTGGCAGCTCCTTCCCCGTCCTTCCTCAGGGAAGGCCACTATACGGCCAGTCCCTTTAAACTACTTTTAAACGAGCGATCTAACACGATCCGACCACATCCCGCTCACGCAGGGTCCACTGCGTCGTGGAGTTTGAGACCGAGAGCCCGAGCCGTCATACCTCCAGCACGCCGCATGCGGACGGTCGAGAACATCACACTGCTCCTGCTGCGCACCCCGACCACGGTGCGCTAACTTGACGACATCAGCAACTGTTGGATCGACTGGCGACTGCCGTGTCGCTTGCGGACACTCCCACGGTGGCACACCGCGCTGCCAATCTCGCCGTGTTCCAGCCGCGACGGCTCGCTGCTGTCGAGCTTCGCCAGTGTCCCGTTAAATGTACTGAAGTGCGCAGAGAACGTCGTGCACTCAACAGCGGCCGCGATCTAAAGATTCAGAATTCCGAGTCG